ATTTAAGGCTCACATAACTCATACTGCTCGGCGAAGCCAAGAAACGATTTTGATCGAGGATTTCGGTCTGAAAAGTGGTTAAGATTAAAAGCTAGTACAGGTTCGCAGAACGTTTTTCCTTTCGCTTCTGTTATTAGCGCTTTCTGCGCGTAACAGGCACCAGACCGGAAGTGAGGTCAAGGAAATTTTTCGCAAAAGCTGCACAGTGTCTAACCGGTTTTTTATTTAGGATAATTTATTCTTCTGTGTGGACAAACAAAAAGTCTGTCACTGGTGGAGCTTATTATGAGGCGTTTTCGTATAACCGACACCGTCACAGTAATTGTCTAGGCCTTGTAAGCAATCTCCCTTTTGCAGTTGGTCGAATTTCCAACGCGGTATAAGATTCAAGAATTCAGCTTCACCGTCCTGCCGCACCACGTCCGTCAGGAAGCTCGACATCTACCTATAGGGGGTACATTGGTTAGGCCACCATCTCGTCCTCTTCGTTTAAAAGGGTGACCGGGGTAGTCAGGCACTGAAACTCCTACCAGGTCACTGCCGGGGCTGTACCCCCTAACAGTCGTCACCGGCTCTCTAGCATACATTCTGTCAGGTCAACTCCGTACTGAGTAAAAGCTTTTTGTTTTTTTCTCTCCAGTCTTCTTTCCACCAAATTGTCCACTCCATGGTGGCATTATGCGACGCATGGTTTCGCAGTTCTTGATGGCAGACTACAAAATCGTATTTCCGTATAAGTTGCAATGGCCCGTGCCACTATCATAATTAGAGATTATAAACCAAAATTAACGGGGGTAGTATAGAAAAGAATGGGAAGGTAGTCATCTACGTTGTAGAGTCATCTAATCTGGGGAAGAGGTACTGTCGAATATTCAGTAAATTCTACCTACTAAACTACAGTCGAGGTCATTTAGAGGCTTTACATACAGTTCTCCGGATCTCTCTCCATAAGAACTTCCACTTCTTTGATCGTTGGTACACGTGGAAGTGGTAGGACGGTAAGTAGAATACTGCAGTTTGAATATTCCCTCCATCAAAGCCAACGAAGTTAAATACTCCTCGCCTTACTAGAAGTTTCGTTTTTGCGAAGAACACTATGGAGTCATGATCTTCGAGATGGGGTCATTCTCTTAGTTAGATTCCGGACATGTTATTCACAAACATCATGTGGGATATTTTACGTAATCCCCGTCCCCTTGCTGTTTCTTACTACAGGCTTGTGGCTGTCCGCTCTACTGGAAGCGTGCTATCTTCTTGGCTTCCGGTGGACAAAACGATGAAACTCCCGTTGAGATCGATGCCATTCTGAAGACCTGGCAATCGTAAGTGCACTTTATTTTGCTCGCGTGGAATCACCATCACATTTTAGCTGACTTCTTTTTATATTTTATTTCTTCGCCTCTCGATGCCTCATAGTGTGGTGACTTGACTTTAAACAAACAATAAATCCATGAAGCTATGGGTAGGAGACAGCAATGGGGACCCCAGTAATACAGGCCTTAAATTCCAGAAAAGATTATCCTTCCCGTGGTCTAACCGTAATCCCAAGATTACTACTTAACCAGCAACTTAACCTAACTTTCGTGCTAACGGTAATCCTGCCACAACTATAACCTTAACTACAACCCTTACCTTAATCTCCATACAATTTAGCACAAAGCCACCTGCATTGCAGGACGTTCCTTGGTTCTTATCTTATCAGGCTGTATATTAAAGAGGTGGATCGTTGTTTAGGGTCTTATTTATTTTAGAAGGAGCATTTTACCTACCGAAAGCACTGCTGATTGACTCCGTGAACACGTGGCACTTCTATAGTAATATCGGGTCGTATGCTCCTGCCGCAAAGGACTTTGGAACTCATTGCTCTAACGTTGAGGCTATGGCCTAATGTGAGCCATACTCCAAACTTTAACGGTTACCCTGATCTTCATTCTACCCCTAGCTCAACAGCTAATACTAAGCCCTAAACCCTAAAGTTGGCCGCAACCTACTTTAATGCTAACCTCAACCCTGATCTTAAACTTAATCCTACTTTCCTTGGAATTTTCCGCAAATCACCTGTATTGCTGGCAGTTGCTATGCTCATGTTCTGTTTATTGGACCATATAAGTCGTTCTTACCATAATCTTTACGATAATATACTGTGATGTAAAAATGGCCCTCGTCTTCATAGCGTGATCTGGTAACGCATTGGTGCTCAATACGTGTACAAATAAATCTTGTTCCTAGAAGTAGTCAGCACTCCTGAAATTGAGAGAGTAGGTTCTTACTCAGTTGGAGTGTTAGTCATCCTTGGTCTCAATGAGGTTCGCCTCGCCGTAATCCGATTGGTCTTCTATAAGCCCAGTTGTCTTTTTTTCTCGTATGCATACACTCAGCGATGGAATCTACTGATCACAGATTCTGCCGCAACCTATTTATTCATCACACCCCCTCGTGAAAGTGCGCGCCAACGTCTACTTTTTTTCTATCTACCGTGCCAAATTGACTATATTTTTAACCAACGTATGCTCTTCGGTGCAAATTTTCGGCATATATGTTGGCCGCAACTGCTTTTATGCGCCCTCACCTACAGGATACAGGAAAAATAATGCCCCCACGTAATACAGGTTGCCTTGCGTTAAATTCCGAGAAGAGTAAATACTTCTTGTCCCCACCCTAACAACAGTCCTCAGCCAAACCCACTAAGCCCAAATTTACTCCTAACCCTTAGCCTTCATTTCCTTGGAATTTAGCGCAAATCCACCTATATCATAAACGCTTTTTGTTCCCGCATAAGTAATCTATCTTAGGTAGGTCTACCAGCTTTTTTTAGGTCTGGAGGATTTTTTTTCCTTTTCCGCAAAAAAAGGTTGTTTGTCGAAATCTGCCCTTCTTTTTTTGAAGACGGGCTTTTGTGACATTCTAACGTCCGCCCCCTCTCACAGTTGTCCACTGTTCTCACTGTTGCTATGCTCACACTCACAAGCCGCACGCTAGACATGTTGGCACTTATTTCCAGTATTAGACG